AAAGAGAGAGAGAGAGAGGAGCTTCTTGATGTGATGCAATTTTATAATTTAATGGTTAAAAGTGGATAATTAAATGGTTAAAAGTGGTTGTGAGGTCTTGGTACCAAAAATCATTTAAATATAGTATACCTTTTAAATGGTCTCTTTTAAGTATGGGTGCAGTTTGTATAGAAATCTTCTCATGATCAATAATGCATCAAAACAACCTCTTTTTTTTTTAGTGGAATTTTTGAGATTGGGCTCTAATTTGATTGTTTAGAGCTTTGGCTCTATATAAACTTTTTCCTTTATAGTTTTGGCATTTATCATTTTCTTGCCGCGAATTAACAAGGCGAGAGGCGGGGTTATGGTACATCGGAACTCCATTGCCCGGGCCGGGGAGTCTCTAAGTAAAAACTTGAAAAGTGAATAAAAAGGAAAAGGGAAAAGTTTATATAAGGTTGCAATCTTAAAATGTAGAATCATAGATGCACCTCAAAAAGCTATAGAAAATGTTATTTTAATATTGAACAAACCCTTTATTCGATCATCTCGACATTGAGATGCATGAATATGAAAAAAAAGGTTTTTAAGTCCCGTAAATAGTGCATCTTGCATCACATTATCTAGACCGTCTATTTTCGAGATTTTCGTATATTTATAGATCGATTTGATTTTAACCATTTTTGAAATTTAAAAATTTCTAATTAGGTGTGAAAATAGATTTTAAGATGAAACTAAAAAAAAGTTATAACAAAATTGTATGTTATAATAAAATTTTAAGGTGTGCCTTAATTGGATTGTTGATTGTTTAAGGTTGCATCCTTATAGAAACCGCAATTTACGCATGCTTGGTGGAGTCTAATGGAACGATGATAGCAAGTAAATTTATTTATATGAAATCATTTCTCTCTTCATTCGATCGATCTTGCAAGTCCTTTTCGGTTTGTTAAAATTATGTAAACTATTTTTTTCTTTTGCAAGCTTCAACCATGGGCAGCCACTCATTGAAAAATGAGATAAATGGATGAAGCAAATGGATATGATATATGAGGGCAATGAGGAATAGGAAAACTCATCTCATAATGCAGTGAAAGGACCCCACTCTCTTGTCCCACCGTTACGCGTTTGCCACCAAAATTTTATATGCTCCTATGTCTGTCCGGGTTATAACTTTTGTGAGGGAATGTGTACTATATAATACAAGTAATGATCCACATCCATATATTTAGGACTTTAAAGGATCTTCATTAAATTTGACACAGATTTTTAAAAAAATTATCATATGAGTGTGCGACTTGATTTTTTTAGAGATCTGTACGAAATTTAATTATGATTATTTAGGGTCTTACACATACTGGTGTGGGAGGATCTTACAAAGTCATTTCCCATATAATAGATATATGATCTATGTCATGATACACTGGTAAAATTTATAAGTTGGTTTAAAATTCCTTGTATGGCGGTATCTTAGAAATTTAGAAATTTTAAAAATAACTTCTAAAGAATATCTCGAAGAACGTTATGGTTCTCGTTTTTTTTCGAAGTATTAAATGCTCTTGATTTGGTAATGTTCGAGATGCAATTAGTTCTAGCGAGTACACTTTCAAGATACAAGTTTAATATTTCAGTTTTTAGTCATCGAGTTGCATAATGATTGACTTTTCCGTAACTACAATTCAATCTTTGATTTGTTTTTCAATTGGTAAAACAACCACAAACATCAATTGAAAATAAATATAAATAAGTATAAAATCTTTTATTCTAGAATAATAGAGTTTAAAAAACTGCTAGTAAAGTTATAATTAACTAAATATTATATCATATGATGACAACCATACTCTCAAATTGTTTTGGCTAGAATCTTCTCACCAAGATAGGCGATTTTTCTTCTTTTGTTGTTCCCTTATCAAAACAAAATTTCCCTGTATTTATAGATATGAAGTTTCAACATATGTGTTTACACATGGCCTTAGACTATGCATTTCATAATTACACACGCATGGTAGCTTAGTAATACCACATGTAACTATAGTGATGCCACCTATAAATGTACATAATTTTATATTATTTTAATCGCGACACCTGCGTTGTTCATTGTGTATTTATTTTTAAGGTTGGTATTGTGACCTATTGTTTATACTCGAAAATACAAGCAAGGGACTTCGTTCCCGCCGTAGTTTTGAGTGCAAATAAATTGATGAATTGATAGAGTATGTCTTATCAAAATACGCTCTGAGAGAGTATTAGGTCCTAATACTTTATCCCTCTCGAACCACCGACAAAGTGAGATTCCTCTTATTTCAATATTAGAACCCAGCAAAGAAAGCGTTCAAAAGAGGTTTGAGATAAAGAGGAGATTTTAGAAGAAGCGGTTTAGAAAGAGAAGAAGAGAGGAGAACCACGAATAAACAATTAAGCTAGGGAAACATAAATACACATGAGTAACAAATCTAACATGAGTAACAAATCTAACTATAAAATGCAAGAAAAATAAGAAGGCAACAAACATGGAGGTTACAAAGTCTAAGCTAGCATCTAAGTTAAACATGCATAAAACACAATGAAAGAGAGAGAAAGGATTAAAGAAAAGAAAGACTGGATGTGAAGAAGAAAAGAAAGGAAATCTTTACTACAAAGACAGAGGGATATAAATATAGGATGAGAATAAAAATCGTAAGATAACATAGATGAGAAGGAACCACAAAGAAAAGAAAACTAAAACTAAAACTAATAGATGATACGCAAGGGGAGTAATAAAAATAAATGAAAAAGAGGGATAGAGGGAAAAAGTGTTAGAGAGTGTTAAAATGAATGAGATAGAGAGAAATAGATAATGATGCATTGAAAATGGGGAAGAGATGAATAGATAGACATGGATCAATAATGAAAGATGATAAATAGACGAGGGAATAAATAAAACAAGAGAGCATAAAATAAACTAAATTATTGAACAAAATATAAGGGGAAAACAAGCAATATGAGTATCAAAGAAGAAGATGAAAGGAGGGGAGGTAGAAATAAATGATCTCTAGAATACAAAATAGAAGAAAAGAAAGAGAAAAACCAAAGTCATTCTTCAAGAAAGATACACATAATAGAAAAATGGTGATGAATACCTAAAGAAAAGAGAGAGAGATATATATATCTATGCTTCGAGATCAATAAAGAAAGGAAGGGAAATAGATATAACAACTTAAGAGAAATAACCATTTAAGAGAGGAAAGAGAAAATAGTTATTTATTAGAGAGATGAAAGAGGGAGGAACATTTACATTATCAAAGGAATAAAAGAGAGAGAAAACAAACAAAACAAGTTAGGAAGAAATAAATGCAACAAAGGAAGAGAATCTAACAATACATTAAAAGATATGGAGATTAGGTGAGGGGATAAAATCTATGGCACCAAATAAAGGAAATAAGACTGGGAATAAATATAAAAAAACAAAAGAAATAAATACAAATCAACAAAGGAAAAATGATTATGCAATAAGAAGACAAAAGAGAAAGAGGAAGATCAAATATAACTATGGATAATAAATGCTACATTAAATGAAGGGGCAAAAAAACATAAGTAGGATTATAAATAGGGGAAAATAAGGAAAAACGTACTAAAATAGTTGGAAAAAAATAAATGTAAGAAGTAAAGGAAAAGAAAAAGAACGGTTAAATCATGAAATGAAGAAAGAAGAGAAGTATAACTCTAACAAATGAAAATAAATGCTAGAAAATAAATACAAGAAGGAAGAAAACATGTTCAGGCCAGGCCCCCAAGCCTAGTGCCCAAAATCGGTGCCGATTCAGAATAGTTGGTTGCACAGTCAATCTCGAACTTTCTCGATTTTTAACGAGGCAAGTAGAAATATGAGGAATAGGGCTCAAAAGGTTTGACTATCCAGATCGCCTTCGGTTGATAGTGTATCGTGAAAGAATTGATAGTTTTGGTTTTGGATTGTAGGGACTTGGTAGAATGGGGTTTGCTCAAGTGGGCCCACCTTGGGGCTTTTTCTCTGAACATCAAG